AAAAAAAACAATTTTGGTTTTAGTGTATAACAGTTAGACCAACAAGATGATATTTACTAGGTTGCTTTTCAAACAACAATCAATTGTAGATATTGAATAATCATTATCTATCAACCATTTTAATATCTGTATGACTGAACTCTGCCAATCGCTGTACTTCATTTGAATTTCAGGAATTATTTTATCCGTTAATCATTAGGAGAATAGACCAGCTCCATTGAATCCATCAGACATCGAAGCAACATACATAGATCTACGTATCAATATCATTATATCAACGATCGAAGAAATCAAGATGGATAGTCATCAGACAAATAAAGAGTGGGGAAGCAGCAGGACCTGACAATATACCAGTCGAAGCACTGAACTCACACACAGAAGCAACTGCAAACATGTCCCACGTTCTATTCAGGAAGATTTGGGATGAAGAACAGGTGCCACCGATAGACTGGAAAGAACAATACCTCATCAAGATACCAAACAAAGGAGATCTGAACAAGTGTGACAACTAACTACACAGACATCACACTGCTATCGGTTCCTTGGAGTGTTGCTGAATCGGATGAAAGACTCAACAGACATCCAGCTTCGAGATCAACAAACCGGATTCTGTGAGGATCGGTTGTGCACAGACCGAATTGTGACACTACGCGTCATCGTTGAACAATCAATTGAATAGAACTCATCACTATACATTAACTTCCTTCACTATGAGAAAGCGTTTGACAGTGTGGATAGGAGAACCTTATGCCACTTTTTTCGGTACTATGGAGTGCGTACCTGAGAACATTATCGCTATCATACGGAATTCACACGACAAACTATGCTGCAAATTCGTTCACGGACGACAGCTGACAAGTATATTCCAAGTGAAGACCAAAGACAGACAATGCCGTTTACTCGCATCCTTTCTCCTTCTTCTGGTGGTCGAATGAATTATAAAGACCTTCATATTTGACGGGAAGCACGGAATACAATGAAGAGCTTCCATGGAACAAGACAGTTCGAACTTCAAAGATAATCTAGCACTTCCATCCCATACAAACGAACAAATACAGATAAAGACAGCTAGTGTGAAGTTGCAGCAGCCTCTGCAGCAGTAGGCCTTAATATACACAAGGGGAAAAGCCATTATCCCCAAATAAAACATAGAAAACAACAAGGCGATTACATTCGATAGGAAAACTCCGCAACAGGTGTAATCTTTTACGTACATGATATGGTCAGCATCATCGATGAACATGGAGCATCTGAGGATTGGCAAAGCAAAGACAGCATCCCTACAATTTAACAAAATATGCAACTCAAAACAACTGTCTGTCAACCGACATCAAAGTCAAAATCTTCCGTGCGAACATCAAGACAGTTCTACGGTACGGAGCTGAAACTTTGAGAAGTACGATAAACATCATCAAAGAAGTAAAAGTATTTAGAAACAATTGTCTACTCAAGATACTCAGTAACAGCAACAGTCTACTGTGGGAGACAAGAAACCAACTTCCAGCTGATGAGGAAATTAGGAAATAAAGTTAGAAGTGGATAAGTCACATATTGGGGAAATCATGAAACTGCATGACTAGACAACATGTAACTAGGAGTCCTGGAGAGAAACGAAAAAGAGAAAGTCGAAAGAACACACTGCGCCGGTAATACGAAGCAGACATGAAGAGGATTCATAGCTATTGGAAAGGATTCTCCTAGCCAGACTTGGATGCAGAATTTTGGTGGGAGGTCCATGTAAGCCGGTAAGTTAATCATTAGGAAGAACATAGTCATGAGAGTAAGTCATACGTCGTTCTAAAAACTAATATTTTTCCTGGTCAGACTGAAAGACATGCAATACTATACTCAATGTATCTGTTCATTGATAGCAAACGTAATGTTACTGGACAGTTTAGATTATTACTCTTTTAGATAAAGGAAAAAAGATAAGTGAATATTAAAAGGTTGATGCTAAATTCAGTTTCAAAACTGCATTAACTAATCAATCAAAGAATTTCGACCACAATTCTGTCAAGAATTTGATTTTCCTACATTATGATATCTTTTGAAACAACCAGTATCATTTGTTACTTCGAATGTTACAAGCAACTATCATACAAGTCTACTTCTTGCTCTATTCACATATATCTAGGAAAAAACTTCAATAAAATCATTTAGTTAATCATTCAATACCAGTTAGTTTGTTTCAGATTTCTTTTGTCTTCTAATAAGACCGACGTGAACTTACTAGCACTCTTAATTGTTTAGACAGTAAGACAGTAGAACTCATGCCACTTTGCTTTCTATGGCTAACAGATATTTTATCAGATATCTAAAAGCTAATAACAGGAAAGTATTATTAGGGACTGTGCTTTTTGACGCATGTGAGTAAAATACACATGGAATCTACGTGAAATTGACTCTCCTTCACACGCTAAGATCTCAATTGTCTAGTGCTCACAGTTAGAGATGTCATCACTGAACGATTCAAATGATGTGAAAAGTTTATTGAACGCTTCACGGAATTACTGGATAAAATTTCATTAACACTGAGGATTAAATGGCATTAATATAATTAGGTAACATAGGTTTTCCTCTATAAATATAGTTTCTAACTTCATGAACTTTAAGGACTCAGAGGGTTATATGGCTGATATTCAGTCGAAATTATTATTTCTGTACAAAGTTCAATATTATAACATTACTGTTTCTTAACGTTTTTCATTGAAATACTTTAACAAAATGAAAGGATGCGACAGTGCTAAGTGTTATTCTTTAATAGTTACCAGTTATTTTAATTATAAAACTAAATATTAATCAAATCAGGCACTGTATTTTGTAGATAATATTTAAAAATAGGAGAAATCTATAAAATTAACAATTTAAAACAATAACTAATTTACCACAAGTCTTCGGAAAAACATGTAAATATAACTGACTTCGAGAGGTATATCCAAGAGTTCTAGTGAGAAGCAGTGACCAGTGGAGTTCGAACCACGTCTGTTGTGAGATAGAAACTCAGTGAAGACAATTGAAGAACGGTTGCTCAACTTCGTGAATTGGTTGAAGTTAGACAATAACATCATCGGATGCCGGCTCAGTGGTCTATCGGGTAAATGCTCTGGCGCGAATTTGGTAGGTCCTGTGTTGGAATCTGGAGAGGCAGGATCAGGGATGCGCACTGTTGAGGAGTCCCACAATAGGGCGAAACGGCCGTTCAATGCTTCCAGGTTTTTCTTTGTGGTCTAGCTTCAATTGACTCACGCTTTCAACTATGAAAATATTAAATCTCCACAAAAACCCCTTCTGATAAAAATATGTGATGTTTGTATGAACTAATGATTCCTTTCTACTTGATGACTGATTGATTTTGAATTCCAAATACAATACGTTGGTTAGTGTTCATTTAGTACTTCTTTGTTAAATTAAGTTATTTCTAAGATTCCTAGTTTGTACTATCATTCAAGCATTCCTAATTATCGCAATATGTTTAAAATTATTGATTCACTATCAAAGAAACTGAGATTGATTGTGAACATAGCAGTAATAAAAAGAGCCTAAGTGTTCTTTGAAATATAAAGCAGTCAAAATGAAAATGAAACAATAATTCTTATATCTGGTTTGAATAAGAAAAGTTAATAGATCTATGTAAACTTCTTTTGATCTGACTGTATTCCGAAAACTCAGTCAGATAATTATTTTCGAAACAAAAGTCAAACCCTAATGCCTCCGGCACTCTAGATACCCTCCAAATCGTTTAAATTAATTAACTGAAAAACATTAAGATCATCGTCATATGTTACAATGCAGAGTAGCTTAAGTAATACAAAATCCCTGATTATGTAACTGACATTGTGTTAAGTTATTAATGAAGATATAAATCTGTTGGAAATCACTTATTAAAATCAATTGTTCCAGCACATTCACCGTTTTGTAGACGTAAATACTAACTTGTTACTTTTTGTGGTATTTTAAAAGTCTGAATCATGATATTAACAACCAGTCAAGATGAAAGGTACCAAGATAACCCTAAAATTACTTCACAAATGTGGTTTTCATTCTTAAGTCATAAACACCAGATTTGGCTAAATGAAAATCTTCTTATTCTTGCTTTTAAGATGGGGTATTGCATATAAGTTTACGATAAAGTTACTATGATTCAGAGTTTTAAAGTAGCAAACAACAATTTATAACCTAGTTCATAAGCTCTTCATATATATTTTGTTTATTATGATTTATCAAAAATGGACCCTTAATAACCACGTCTTATATGTCCCACCGATTGGCCGCACGGATTCAAACAAAATGCCATTTTCCGTACCGTTCACTTCAAATGCCATCGCATTATCCACTTAGCTACTGAGTCCTGATAGTCACCTGCTTGTGTAATATGGTGAAGTTATATTCACTTGGTGTTGTTTACTTGTATCTACCCATTATTATTTAGGACTGCTTATAAAGTTTGTGACTTCAGGCAAAATCGAGGAAGTCCGCACAGGATGCACATATGCCAACAAGAGACTGATCAATTGCAGTCCTAAATAACAACGGGAAGATACAAGTAAACAACACCAAGTGAATGAACTGTCAAAAAATAATTTTGCAGTTCTATGTTGTACATAAAATGAGTTTCCGGCAAACTGAGCAGATGTTAGGAATAAATAAATTGGATTTTTAACTGCAGATATCGATGAGAATTGAATTCATTCAGTAATCTTTGTCTGTTTATCTCTGTTACAGAATTAAGGCGATCAAACATATTTTTACTGTATGCTCACTTTTTCAATTGAGTAGCACATTTAAAGTCTCTTGAGAATTTGAGACATACAAGAGCATAAAATTGTAAAAGCGAATCAGTATACTGTTTCTGTTATAAACAGAAATGACGTATTGCTAAGGAATATCGAACAGCTGTTCAGCATCATCTGACTTCATCAAAGTGATATGACATTTTAATGTAATCAATATTTCAAAATAAATAAGTAAAGGAAACTTTAAAATATTTACTGAAAACTTACCTAAGCCATAAAAAATCAAACTCAGAGTTGTTAAAGTTTTACTAAGATCATTATGAAATATCTCTTTGAAATGTTTCTTTCGAAATAGACCATTAGCTACAGCATGCCCATACTCTCCACAACAATTAGGTGATTTTTTACGAGACGGTTTTGTAGTATTTGTAGTTTTCTTATCATCTACACGTAGATTACTGTCTTCTTTTGACATTTACTTTTGGGAATAAATTTATCAGACAGAATTCTAGTCAATACGCTAATAGAATTCTAATTTATATGGTAAAAAGCATTACTTATAAATATTCCAGTGCATCAAATCACAAATTAAAATTAATTTTAACATCAGTCTCATTTGTGATTGGTTATCTTTTCACTAATGTTACATTACTGGGCAATGATCAAATAGAAATGTTTTTTTTGGATACAAAAAGGTAATACATCTATTTTTATTAATAAAATTTAAGTAAAATCAATAAACGATAGATAGTGAATAGTTTTATCTGAAAAGTGGGGGTAATATATTTGAAGTGGTCCCATAGAAACCTTGAAAACTTATTCAATACCTTAGGTTACAAAGCTGAATACATAAAATAATCAATTTTTAAACAAATGTAAATATAAATTCACTTAATATTGTTTGTTTGAATCTTCCCATTGATGTTTAGGACTGAAACTGGTCAGTCTCTTATTGGCATATGTGCATACTGTGCTTGTTGCCTCGATATTGCCTTAATTCACAAGCATTATTAGCAAAGATGGAAGATGGGAAGATTCAAACAAACAATACTAAGTGAATTTAAACTTCACCCCATTACACAAGCAAGTGGCTATCAGGATTCAGTGGCCGAGTGAATAGTATGATGGCGTTTGAAGCGAAAGGTACTGGGTTCGAGTCCCAAAGTGGACATCAACTCTGAGATGCAAGTACATCCAGCTGACGAGTCCCAAATAAGACGAAACACGCGTCCTGGATTCCACTGCTAGTCACTATCTATCCTTGCTTGTAAATGTAAAAAAACTTTTTTAGTTTTAAAAATTTGAATAATACAAAGGTAACAAAAATAGCGAAATGACCAAACAAATGAATAACGAAAGAGAAAAATTCATGAGAAATCAAATCATATCTTTCAAATCTCATTTGATATATGTACTATGGTTTAGTGAATTCGTAATCAATATCGTGAAATGGTGTATCAGTTTGATTGGATTGGATTTAAATAAAATCCTTGAGAAACTAGAATAGATGTATTCATAACCATTATGATCTATTTTGAACTATGAAAATGAGACTTACTCACATAACTTAAAAAATTTATTCATTTGGTAGAGAAATAATAAGTTCGAATATAATTAAATGAAATATACCATCTTTAAGTAGTCTAACAAATGAATAGTCAAATACTGGACATTGTTTTGAGTTCTTTATTAATACTTTTGGATTTCATCAGTGTTATATCCTAGTGATAATGAAAGTACGGTTAACTTCCGGGACCTATTAATGGACTATTTTTCTATATATATTCTTATTGTATAAATATTCAGTGACTTCTGATTAAGCCTTTTGTAGCCTTTACAGCGAAAGGTCTTACACTCTTCAGAAACGCACCTGAATATGTTGTGCGATTAATAGGCATAATGATGTATTTAAACAAACAAAATTAGATAACTTGTTGAAATATCTAGATGACAGGAACAGGTAGCCCAGATGTATCAAGTTTATAAACGATTAATCATTCTTTTTCTTTCATCGTTCAATTGCAATCAATATGAAAACGAAATTAAAATTGAGCTTATATGTATTGAATTGATACATGTTTTTACATTTGAGTATTCATTTTTCAGACATATACACATAATAGTAAAATAATACATTGTATTTTAATGTAGTCTAACGAATTCTCCACAATATAGTATATAGGTGATATTCAAGAGTTTTGTCTTGCTAATAGATTTTCAAGTCATTTTGTCTAGCTAATATATATTATTCTTAGTTTATTCATGATTGACTACCTAAAACATCACATTATCTATAAGGTACTAAAAAATGTACAATCGAAATTTCATGGATGTAATGATACTACTACTCAGTAGTTTGCATAAATACCACTAATTTCTTGCTTCCTAACGAGAAATATTTCACTTAATATATGCAATATATGGTGGGAAGTAAAGCATTTTCTCCTCTGAAGTCATCAAATCAATTTGGCAGAGATGTCAAAAAGTCAATAATGTATAAAAATTGATATCGAAAGCAGTTTATCTACCTGAAATATTTAGGATTTGATTAACTTCTGTTAAGAATCCCGAAAATTAGGCCTAACACTCAGATCATGATTGATTGGAGAATAAAGAACTCACATGCTAATTTCCTACAGCCACTTATAACGGCTATTTTCGCTAGTGGTCTTTTATGATTTTAACTCTTCGGAATATTCAAGTCAATAATGCGATCTCGTGAACAACTATCAGTTGGTCACATTATATCATTTGTCAATTTGCATTCTGCTTGTTGATTTTGAAAATCATCGAAAATCTCCTCCTTCACACACTGAATCCAAAGCCAAAGAGAGTTATGGGAGATTGACAACAGAATTTTGTAACAAACAGTATAAGCTTCGTCTATCATAATTATAATTCAGCAAATTCGCAAGGAAGCACGTTATGCTAGCGTCTAATCACAGCATGCCACGTTGATATTCTAGGCAACTCCATCAGGTTCTGATTGGGTGTAAACTCTTTAGCTCATTTAGGACTGCTGGAGGCTCCGTCATGCTTCTCAAAGGCCGTCCTAACACCCCAGAATAAGATTTTCTCCTTGAGCCCATTTGTAGCCTGACAACTGGTTTGTTGTGGCGTTCCTTTCTTTTAGTTGTCCTTCTCATCCAAGTTTTCGATCTTCTGTTCTTTCCAGTATTCTTGGACGTATGTGTCGTCGATGTATCAGAGTCAAATCATGAGTACTTAATAATGTATTTATTTCAATAAATCAATTGCTTTTATACTTCCATGGTTTCAAAGGTAATAGTAATGATAATAATTTGATCCTTAACTTCAAAAATATCATTATTTTCATATCGATTCAGTTTTATAACTTGTGTTCAAATAGTGTTTTCAATGACAGTTTCGAATACAATACTCAAGAACTAAATAAATTCAAGGTTATAAACAAACTAGTGTAATCAGTGAATTTTTTTAAACCTAGATTTGTCAACGTGCGTAAACATGTTATCACAGTTGTTGTTATTACATTAGATCCGATTAATTCAAGGGGATATGTATACATGTTAAATATTATATTTAGCTTACTCATGACAGCTAACTTAATTTACAAAACAAATTCGGGTAGTTAATCATCTTAGAAATAAGGTTTCTGAGTTATCTAAAAATATACAAGTTGGTACGTGAATGAAAGAAAATAGGTTACAAATAACTTCTATAAGTGAGTAAATCATTATTCACTTTAGTCTACAGATGATCAGTTATATTGGATAGATAATGTAATAATTTACACAAACTATCAATGTATAAACACAAACCTCTATTACTATGTTTATTTCTAATAAAAAGTTAAAATTTTACTCTCTAACTGTGCTGCTATAAGACTATGATGTTTCCGTCTTATATAGCTACCGAAATGTTTAAACATACAAAGATTATGACTTGGATACTTAAGAAGAAATAGCTAATGGTTTAGGTAAAAAAAGAAGGTTACCATTAACCGTATGTAAACTTTTATGAATTACATTTTTATAACAGACAAAAATGAAACACTTTGAAAACATGGATTGTAAATCACAAAACATTCATGTCAATTCTATGGTTTTCATCAATTTATTTTAAGAGAATAAAAACGAGTAGTTTAATATCAGAAGGGGTTTAATGAAAAACTGGATGTTTATATAATAAATGTTGTATCCTGTTGAGAATTATGAATGGTAAACTATTTATGGACCAATGTTATATGTATATTTCCTATTATATAATTGTTAAGTAACTAAACTATTCATACTCTTTTCCCTCTTATTATATTCTTTATTTTGATCCATAGACTATTATTATACGATATACCATTCTTGAGTTATACCCAGTCCAATAATTACCGTTCCCCCTATTCACAGCCACATTTGGCCAAATCTTGTACAAATGTTATTTTCTATTTTATGGTACGATGTGATCAGTTTGTTTGGTATATAAACCCAGTATGTTTGTGAACAATGATTCATATTGCAAATGCTGCTATTGGTGTTCTGGACTTCAGTTGCTGGGTTAGGCAGGTAGCAGGACTGATAAGTACTCAAGACTCCTTATACGGCTTTCGGGTATCATTGCTCTGGTCAATAAATCACTGCTCTCTGATAGGTGGTTTTATCATGTCATACGCTAGCAAGGCATCCGCTCGGCCACAAGTTATAACAATAAACGAAGATTTCATCACTGTTTATTTCTTTTATCATAGAAACAGAAAAATATATTTGTTATGTATCTTTTTATTACATTAAATAATATCCTGAAAATACACTAAATCATAAACTGACGTAATTTATACAATCAGAAATCAGATGTTTTGTTCTGCATTTTAAGAATCGTTTAATTAAGAGGGTTGACATTAGAATCACGGCTCGTATTATCCCCCTACCACCCTTTTTTCGAAAATGAAGGATGTGAAAAAAAACGCTACCACATGCAATGTATTCAAAAATACATTTTCAGTTTCTGTGACTACGTGAGGAACAACAGAGCCTGTAATTTGCACGTTACTGACGTCCATATTGTGAAGAAAATTATCTATACCGATAAGTACAGAGCTTTTATACGAATTTCAAGAATTACATAACCAATTATAACGCATTTACAACTAGGAATTTCATTGGACGAAACGGATTTTAAAAAAAATTGGAAAATGGGATGAAAATTTTTTGATTAAGGGGGACAAAACAAATTTATTAAAAAAAAATCGACGTGACCCTAATGTTATTCAATTAAGAGAGAACATATTGAATAAGTTGGGTCCAAATATCATTACAGTACATGATTTAAATAAACTTAGGATTATATTTATAATGATAAACATATATGTACTTTCAGAGGTATACAAAACAATCTTGTTAAAAATAACACAGACAAAACTTGTTTATTGTCATATGTCATACAAATAATGATTGATAAAAAATATATACAAGGAAATGTACAAGCATGTAGGTTCATGTTCATTTCTCTTCGACTATAATCAATACTTATAAAGACATAGAATAACGTACTTCAAGCACATACGAGGTCAATAGGTATATATACTTAAAGTAAACAAACTATTATTTCCATTTTGTATTATCCAATAAAATTCCGACTTTAAATAAACCAATCAAAAGGAAGGAATTGCATTTAGGAATATCAAACTTCAATTTATTCAAATAATGTCACATAAACATATTACTAAGTGGATCAGATACATATTATTTCCTAATTAACTCTTATTGATTTCCCATCTATCGTTGGCTAAATATATTAATGTTCGATCAGAAACGTAAAAAATGTGAATGTTGTGAGGAGTATGGAAAAGCTGTGGCTTCCGGATTGTTTCGTAAAAAGGAAATAGGACGTGATATGAAAGAAATACTTAAAACTGGCATGAACCGATGTTTAACAACAGTGGATTTGATAGCATATGGATTAGGTGAGTTTTTAGTCTATATACATATCAGTTTTTTGAGAGAGGTTAAAACAAATTTTTACTGAAATGAATACCGCATATATGTTATTCTATGTGACTATCTACATCGAAAATTTCTCAAAAATCATTATATACTCAATTTTATAACTCCGCCTGCAACTCTTCTAAGATAACTACCGGTTCCAAAACGGAGTAGACTGAGAGTAATGCACAAGGGCTCATCATCATCACCCAGTATGAAACGGGATGGTTGCCAGGATGTAACTGAAACTAAAAAAGCAATGAAAAACTGTGGAAGTAGTATTATAATGGTCCAATGCAGCCTTCACTCAAAATACAAACAAACTCAACAAATTCAAGATAGCTCTCAACAACTGGTTTCAAGCCGTATAAGGATCTACTGGAAGAAGAAGAAACTACTATGGAGAACAACTGAAAATGGATCAAAGAAGCCCATAATCTTATGAGCCGGAAACTGCTGTGTCGTAAGGAGTATCAGCATATGTAATAGATCTCGATAGAAACCGTGTTTTGGATTCAAGAAACGAAGGACAAAGAGACAGCAATTAACAACAGCCGAACAAGAACAGAGGAAGTCATGACACAATCAGAGTACGCAGAAGAAAACAAGCAAGTGAAGAAGGGCATCAGAACTGACATGCAGAAATAAGTGGGACACCTAGTGACGACAGAGGAAAAAGCTTCAAGAGAAGGAAATATGAAACAACTATATGATACAACGAAGAAACTAGCAGGGAAATATAGTAAATCAGAGAGATCTTTCATGGACAAAGAAGGAAAGACAATCAGGGAGATCCAAGAACAGAGGAACACATGGGTAGAACATTTCGAGGAACTACTGAATACATCAGCTCCACTGAATCCACTGCACATCGAAGCAACACACATAGATCTATGTATCAATGACTTTTTATCAACAATCAAAAAAATCTGGATGTCAAGTCATTAGACAAATCAAGAGTGGGAAAGCAGCAGGACCTAACAGTATACCAGTTGAAGCACTGAACTCACACACAGAAGCAAACATGTCCCACGTTCTATTTAGGAAGATTTGGAATGAAGAACAAGTGCCGCCGACACACTGGAAAGAACAATACATCATCAAGTTACTAAAGAAAGGAGATCTGAGCAAGTGTGACAATTAGCTAAACAGACATCGCACTGCAATCGGTACCGGGACAAGTTTTCAACAGAGTGGCAGCAGCCTCTACATCAGTAGGTCTTCAATATACACAAGGGAAAGACCATTATCCTCAAATGCTATGTGGAGAACACCAACCCAATCACACTTGATGGAGAAACTCTGGAAAATGTGGGAACTTTCACTTACCTACCTGGTTAGCAGCATCACCAATTGATGCAATCGTTCACGTTCATGTCTGGACAGTATCATTGATGAACGTGGAGGATCTAATGCACACATAAATGCGAGGATTGGAAAATTAAGGACAGAATTCATACAATTGAACAACATATGCAACCCAAAACAACTGTCTCTCAACCAATTTCAATGGTATAATCTTTAATGTGAACACCAAGACAGCTCTACCGTAAGGAGCTGAAACTTCCAGAACTACTACAACCACCATCATAAAAGTACAAGTATTTGTAAATAGTTGTCTAGATAAGACACTCAATTTCCGTTGGTAGGATATCATCATCAACAGCCTACTGTTGGAGAGAACAAACCAGCTTCCATCTGAGGAGGAAATTAAGAAATGGCGCTGAAGGTGGATAAGATGAACATTACGGAAATCACCAAACTGAATCACGAGTCAAACGCTTACTTGGCATCGTGAAGTGGGATGGCAAAGAGTAAGGCCAAATAACACAGTGCGTCTTGAATAGGAAGCAGATATAAAAAGAATAAATAGCAACTTCAGAAAACTATAAAGTATTGCCCAGGCCAGACCTGGATGGAGAATGCTGATGGTTGGCCTATGCTCGAGCACGAGGAGTAACAGGCGTAAGTAAGTGCTCGATTTTATGTTTATCTGACCCCCAACAGTAATAAATATGATGACCCCGACGATCGTTTATATTGTATCTAACATCAGATGAAATCTATTTACTACGACAAATCACATTAAACTATATTTCACTGGACTCGTTTTTAAGTTTCCAGGGGTTTTCATCAAAGTATAATGTATCTAAGCTTTTTAATCCCTCCTGGCTGAAGCTCATTAGCAATGGTTTATCTGACTTTCGAAGCAAATCATTCATATTATTTGCTTGTAGCTGAGAAATAAAATATTCTTGTTAAATTTTGATCATAGTTACGTGCATACATCAGTGCAAGGAATGGAGTTATCTGTAACCACTTTTATTCATAATGTACTAGATAAAACCGATGATAAATTATCTTCATAAGTATTTCAACATTAAACCTTTTAAAGGCTGTGTTACAGCCTGAAAGTGATTCATGAAGTTTGATGTAGGAAATAGTTTACATCCGTATACACGCCTTACAAAATTGGTAATCAATAATTTTTATTACAGTGTGCACCATTTAGGTGTGGCAAACTAACCATTTTAACTACTTAAATAAAAATCAAGCTACATTCAAATACTTTATTGTATACATAAGTATTACAGGTAGTGAAAACCTTCACATTGTCTTTTCTATTCCGTAAACAGATGACTGTGATGTCCACTTAGCTGTATTTCTCACTGTCATCACAAGATTGTGTGAGTATGTTTGATGTTTATTTATTCCTGTAAACAATTTTATGAAATCCAAAATTTTTCTAAAATTAGATTGAGAAATGTTACTAAAAAACTACTAGAAATTATTTTAATTCGTTTTGGTTTTATGATGGCTGTTCGATAATAATGAATCAATCAGTAAGCCACACTTTTGATTGTTCCTATAATAACGAACGGTCTCTGAAATAAAATCCAACGTTAGGAATCATGCGTCGTTGAATGAATGAAGTTAAACTTTTTAGTGCTATATAACACAGCAAAAGCAATTGTTTAGTTCTAATTCTTTTATACAGATTCCGAAATCATTATACCTCTTGATGAAAAACACAAGTCTAGTGATTCATCATTTTCGTAATTATCTACAGATATTCCGTCTAGGTTAGGTGGAGTACCAGTATTATTTATTACCCTTTAACTTTTGCAAACATTTTCACAACCTTCACATTTATCAGTATTAGCCGTTGACATTTAGAGACAGATGTTCGTAAAGTGTTAAGTTAATGAATTGCTGATGACCGTTTTCTGGAATCTGAGTGAGTTTCTGAACCTGAAATAAAAGGCAAGAGTGTCTATATGGACGGGGCACTTATGAGGTGTCTAACTCAACCCATTTCTCTTGAATTATCCATCACATAACGACTGGTGTCATAGTATGACAAAAAATATTAGTAAATGGTGAAATTAGAGGTAGCAAAAACTAAATAATTGTAATCGTCGACGTCATCTCCCATATCTCAATAATGATGAAGACGGTTTGCTACAATATCGTCATAATTATATTGTCCGCTACTTTCATTTTTTTGATACCTAGGTATGTTTATTGGTTGTTATAAAGCTATATCACAAAACATTTTCCCCTTTATGGATGATATAATCAACCAGTGTTTGTTTGACTTGTCCGAGATCTGAAACAATAATTTTTGAATCACAAGCAGTGGAATTATTTTATTACTTGTCTTATTGGCAAACTACCGTCTGCTGATCGAACAGAAAAAGATACCCTAAATGGTATGAAGGCTATGTGGCGAGCTAAGATGTGCATTATGAAAAGTTAGTAGTTGTGATAGATCTCGATTGACTTGTACCTGAAACGAAAGTTTCAGCAAAAATAGACAGCTAAAGCTTTTTCAGTTCACGATTTATGATATCCTTGATTACACTGTCATAATGTTTAGCTACACAAGACATCTGAATAAGTTCACGAATCTATTTTTTTATTAGTTACGTCTAAGTCGTTAACTAATGTTCAGAATGTATTTATCAAGAGAAGTTACTGATGAGTTATTTTACAATTATTACAGATAGTCACTGATATTGATCAAGTTGTCTACTGGTGTTACTAAATCAATCCTTTTAAAATTTAAAATATAAAATTTCCCCCTCTCTTAGTGAAAAACTCAAGCTTCAGAAACTTCCAAAACTATGAATGATAAGAAAGTGTAGTTTATAAATTATAACAATAAAAATGAATGTATTTTCTTTAAACAAACGATTATCATTATTTTAAACGATCGTGAATAATGAACTATGAGTTTATATCTTGGTAAAAGAGTTTTACGTTGGTATATCAAGGATTTAAAGTAAAAGTCTGCTTAGAAAATCTTGTAAATACCAACTAGATATAATTATCATTAATACTAAATTCAGATTAGGCATAAAGTATCTCCATTATTATAGTTTATTTATTTGAACACATAAAGATTGGTACAAAGGGGCACCAGATATACATGCGCCACACAAATCTCATTTGATTTGTATGAGGGCTGTAATACTCTCCGGGTGCCCAGACCGAAACAGATGGTTTTCTCAGGGGGCCACACTTGGAGCCTTTGACCGAAAGATCTGATCCACAAGGCGATGGAGCATCGTAAGGAGATATAGTCCCATGGTAATCGGTGACCAACGATTGATTCATACGCCATTTTTTTCCTACAGGATACTGGAGCCCATGTGCACCATTGGTTTGGAATCAGAGTTTTCCAACTTCCCTAGGTTGACTTTCCGTTATTTGCATTATTATAGAAAAATAGTGGATACTAAAATTGCTTTTGTAACTGACACGTTTTTTGATATTTGTAGTTACATTCAAAGGTTATTTTATGTCAACAACTTTCTATACAATTTTATAAATTCCTGAAATAGATTATCCCAAATATATTGTTTTACCATTTGGCTATTTGCTTGCCCTTCTTCTCATAAACTTATGTTTCAAGACACAGTAAAAGTTAAATAGTAATTAACTACCATAAATATTAGAAAGAGAATTATGTACGTTA